ATAAGATGATAGAAAAGTCAATTATTTTCATCAAAATCCGGCTATAAACAAAGTTTCAAAAACACTCCCCAAAACTACTCCATATTGTTATAGTAAATATTTAATGAAGTAATTAGAGATCTGAAGACAAATAGGCCAATTATAATGGGCAATAATGATAATTAACAAACAAAATATTTAATTTTGATCGTGGATGCGCACTTCTGGGGAGACCCATACTAGAACGAAACGCCCGTCCAGTGTTTCCAGGTTCCCCATGGTGGTCTAGCTTCAACTGACTCATCATTTCAATTTGTAAAATTTCTAAAATCTTCACAAACCCCTTCTGTTAATGATAATAGTTGGTAAACGTGAATATAAAAAAAATTTTATTAGCTTTATTCAGCATTATATTTTTCGTACAATATAGAATTCTCAGCACAAAGTATTTCAACAAGTTTCCGTTTCTTACTTCTTGGTCGATACTGACGATAAATATTAAGTGATTGTCAATTAAATGTTAGCGGTCTAGGAAATCGACATCAAAATAATGTACATTCTTTTTCCTGAATATTGCCAACAACCACGATATCTCTGATTGGGCCTTTTGTAACTTGTACACTTTTCAGAAACGCAGTAGAAGTTTGAAGACTAAGCTGATAATATTCTGTAAAAACTGGGAGAAAAGAAGCAAAGTATTCAATATTAATGAATAATGGCTTATTTCAAATTTCTCATTTATAATAATAAAAATTAAAATTGTAATGACAAGATTAAAAGCGAGTTCATGTTTCCGTTCAGTAAAATATTTTATCTTTAATTCAATGTAATATTTATATATGGTATTCATTTAGTATCACAATTTTTGTATCGATTTGGTGTCCTATTCACTCAGTGTAGTATTCACTATTCCTTGTATGAATTCCGTTGTAATATTTGCTTGGTATAATATTCGGTTGCATAATTCTAATGTAAAATCAAGTCATATTCCTATTACTTCACTTATGTACAGTATTCGATGACCAGTAATCGAACCCCTGAAAAATTTGTACGTATATGAGTGTATTCAGTTAATAAATTGTTGTCATAATTTTGGATGCGAATGAAGCCTTCAAATGACATGTTTTTGTCCTCTCTCATGTGTTTTCCAACTCTCAGGTTCTCTCCTTTTCAAAGTCCTATTTTGCACAGTTGTAGAAAAATCACTTCATCATCCAGTTATTCTATAGATCTTAGTGATTTTAAGCAACTATGTAGAATAAGATATGAGAACAGTTAAAGGCGATAAAGAGCATCATTACTTCAGTCGATAAACATTAATTTCTCCCAAGTGTAATTTCATTTACAATATTTTTCTTTTATTAATTTTTAATTAGATGGTTATCAATAAAATGGAAGTTCAGTGTAAATGTCATGGTGTAAGTGGATCATGTGAGATGCGTACATGCTGGAGATCGCTACCGAAATTTCGACATTTAGGTGCACAACTACAAGAAAGATTTCATGAAGCTATACAGGTCGCTTATATGCAAAAGCGTTTGGTTTCAATGAAAGCTTTAGAACAGTTAAATAAAGAATCAAACGGAAACGCGCTTTTACTTTCGCACCCCGCTTTATTATCATCGTCAGTATCTGGAGCATCATCATCTTCTGGAGCAGCAATGTCATCACGAGTTAATCGAAATACCTTAGATTCGTTAACTAGTTCAACATCACTATCTCCATCATCTTTACCATCACCAACAGAAAATGACTTAATTTATATAAGTGAATCACCAACATTTTGCCATCATGACCCGCGGTACGGCAGTATCGGTACATATGGACGTCAATGTGACGAAAATTCCCAAGGTTTAAATAGTTGTCATTATTTATGCTGTGGTCGAGGATTTAAACGGCAAACATTTGTTCAACAGGAAAGATGTGATTGTAAATTTCAATGGTGCTGTAAAGTTGTCTGTAAGACATGCCGTAAAACAGTGGTCATATCAACATGTAATTAATAACTATGAATATGCACATATAAATGCATCATTTTACGGTTTGAAATCATTTTATGTGTTTGTTTTCACTTTCGTACACTAAATTCCCTACCTCTATGATTCTCTTCACATCTATTCCAAAAATGCTTTTCTCCCATTCTTGTATTACAAAAATGTCTGTATTGAAATTGGATCCATTTCTAATAGTGACAAAATAGCAATCACAGTCATCATGATACTATTAAAATGCCTAAACCCAACAGGAGAGATTACAATCAATTGTGACATGTTGAAAACAAATAAAAAACTCATCAAGTTGTTGGTATTTTACTCCATGAAAGAAATTAGAAGACTATCATGAATAATCAGAAATGAACTTTTTTTTAGTGAGTTTAGTGTGAGTAGTACAGAAAACTGAAAAAGACCAAAATAAACAAATGAATATACATAATTTACTGTTTTTCTCAATTCATTCTTTTCTTATTCTCTGTTTTTGTTGTAAATGTTTATTTTCTTAATATACTAACTATAACATGTGTATATTCTATTTATAGTCACTCATTCACCAAATCAATCAGTTAATCACAATTCATTATTCATATTCTTTATATGATAAAACAAAGCATAAAATGAACACCATGAATGATCATAATACAAACTCATCTGTTGTATTTTAATATACAAATACATATTCATTTTGATCTGTCCAATATACAAACATGTAAACATTCAGCTATTTATGAGTAAAAAATACATAGTGAAAGGTTAAGTTCTGAAGTTGGTCTTTGTCTAAACACTTCCTTGTGATTAATTGATATTATCAACAACATGAAAGTATCCAACTTAATGAGAAAGTACTGATTTTCAGAACTATCAACACTTTAAAAAATACTACTTATGAGTAGCCCAAATAAAAATTCTAAATCATTTGACTGATGAGAGTTATATAATCGTTGATTAAGGTACCGGAGGAAAATTTAGTTTTATTTTCTGACTGATATCATTTGTATAAGCATGGAAATCCTGGGATCAAATATTGACACATATATTCATCGTTAATATTCCAGTAAACAGAACATCTTCATTTATAGTTGTTAAGTACAACATTGAGTGAAAATTCATACCTACCAGACACATTCTGCACCCTTGAAACCAATATCACGAATATACTGTTAAGTCAATTGAATCGATAACAGATCGTTTGATTCTCACTTGATAGGGGAATAGCAATCATTGTGTGACACTAAGCTCCTATATGTAGTGGTTTCAGGAGACCAGGAATAAGGTCCCACGTACTCGAATTGTTTGCATTAGATGAACGAGGTGACAAATGAACGTGAGAAGGGTTAGTAGTGGAGATAGGAGTTATTAAGAAGTATAGGAAGAATTTGATAGTGACCAACTTGGTCTCGTGTGCTGTTACGGGTATGAGAGCCGATGTCACTTCTCGGCTTCCCACAGCGTAGAAGGGTATTTATTGAGTAACCTGAAAAGGAGGTTGGATTAGTAGTGGTTTTAACGACCAGGGAGCGTGATCCCAGAGCCCAAGGGACAACTGCTTGAGGCTGGTCACGCACGGCCCTTTCGTGGGAGGTTTTTAACGTGTTACCTCCGTTCTTCGGAAGGCCTTACCGTCAGAGACGGAAATCCGTGAGGTAAGGTGTGACATATCTAAAGTCGAGCTTTTCTAACCCCTTCCTTCCTTGTGGGAAGGCAGCATCGCTGCAAATGCTGGTTGTCCAAAGGAAACACCTTACTGCTGTCACACCCCTCTACAGTCAGCAGAACGACTTCGCTCTCAGACCTTGAGTTGCTGCTTTTAGTCTTACCGTTCTCCAATCGACCTGCCTGGCATGGTAAGACTTATAAGAACATATGTTCCAGCCAATATAGCCCGGTTAGGTCATTACGTAGGCAATCCCGACCACCACGTCAAGGTAGCAGCTACGGCTGCTTACAACAGAACGATCTAGAATCCTACAGTTTTGTTAAGTGCGAAGTATTGTCTACACTGTGTCAAATTGAGAGGCTCATGATGCTAATTTTGGAGTGTTATTCTCCAAACCTAAATGAATAGTGTCTGCTACATAGGTAGAAATATCAAGGACATAGGAAACTTGTTGAGTGAAAATATAAGAAGACAAATAATAGGCAGGAGGTATTAAGATGAATTTGAGAGTAAAGTCAAATTTTAAATATGTTGCTCTTAAGTAAACGACCACCCTTTATGAAATATCTGCAGAAAAGTCTTAATTCAGTTTATCGATCCGATTTGAGAAACTGGTCCTTCAGTACGAAAAACTGGCCACTTTTTTTACAACATACAGTTTATGTAGACCAAGAGTACCATCCTCGATAAATAGTTTTAATTCTTCTTTTAACCAATAATGTTGCTAGGCCCCAATTACGTCTTCAAAACAGAACTTGTTACTTCTCTGGCTTTTATAAATGAAATAAAAATGCAACTCGTTTACCAAGTACAGATTTATGCGCTTAGCTTTGAGCCGAATCATTTATGTGACGCCAACCAAATTTTCAATCATTTAGAAATTATCATGTCAGCCTCGATGACTCGAATATATGAACTGATTACAAGATTCTTCTATGAAGATAAAACAAAGAATAGAGCACTAACCACACCAAATATTCTGAAGTCGAGGTTTGTTCAAACTAAATTGTGATAACCAACAAGCTTAATGGATGGAATTCTGTAATTATTTACTAGCAATGTTATATATATATATATATATATATATATATATATATATATATATATATATTTCTTGATAAATTAAGTAAAGATCTTAAATCTAAAAATGAATTTTAAGTCAATTTTCAAACACCTGCTTCATTAAGATCAGGTGCTGTCGATAAACTATAATGTCTAATTTCTAAGAAAGTTTCTGCTAAAATTCATATTTACTGTTGAACTTGTATCAGTTCAGTGTGATGATACAATTCATTTGTGTACTGATTGTAACTGAAAAAAAGTAGAATCATACTTATATCCTTGCAAATAGATACACAAGATATAATAACAAATTATTCAAATGTACTTCTATTTAAAATGACCGATTTACAAATAAAAACTAACATTTAAAACACGAAGATCAAAAGACACAGAATAACATTTTACTGTTCAATGGTTATTTTTAAATTAATAATATTTCCAAAATCTGGAGAAGAATAAGAACTAAATGAATATGGATAACATGTAATATAATTCATGGTCCCCAAATATTGAATTCATAACAATTAGATAACTATAAACATAATGTCTAGATCGTATCAAAAATCTAACATAAATTCACAACATATTTTTAAAAGAAATTAATGTAAAGGAGTAAGTTTTTCAGGGTTTCCCTTAAAACAAATGTCCATTCTAAATGGACTTTCGAATTATTTTATTGAAAAAATAAGAGTAGACAAGCTACAAACAAATAAATACAAATCTTATAAAATAGATAAATAGGTAACATGGAATAAAAACGGTCCGAATGGGAATAATTATTCTGGCTACTGCTCAATAATATATATATGAGACTCATCAACCATGGAAGATTCAGTTGTGTTAGTTAAACTAGAAAAAAAACGAAAAAAAGTATTAGTTATATGTCGATATAATTAGTTTAGTTATATAACGAGCTTCGGGTTAGGTGTGTATCAATTATTAGACTAATGAAAGATAGTGAAGTGGTTGATACGGTCAATTACTTCGCCTATGTTGGAAGTCTAACCACATTCGGTGTCTAATAAAATCTTCATAGGAATACAGAAAACTTAAGTGACTATCGCGAACACACGACACTTGTAGTGTACGTAAGATTTTAGTTTGCCAACCGAAGAAAGAGTATACTGCTTTATAATTTGCTGTTCTACCTTATGGATATCAAATGTGCACTTTAAAGACAGAGGATATTCGTTCGTTACTAGTACCTAATCACAGGTGCTTTCAAACATCATTAGAGCACTGTGGGACCATCCGGTTAGCAACGTTGAGATTAAGCATAAGGTACTGAGAAAACATGTCAAATCGGATGGTAAGGTGGTTAGTCTTTATAAGCTTAGATGGTTGTGACATGTATTACATATACCTAACCACCACCAAACTCGACAAGCAATGTTTGTTGGTGTAAGGGTAAGTTGGAAGGTATATAGGAGTGGCTAAACCAAAAAGTGACATTAGACCATGAAGTCATTGACTACTGAACTGAGCTGTGTACGTAATTGGAGACTAGCTGGTTCGGATCTGTACGACTACCGTGAGCAGTTTTAAGAATATCTTATACATTTCTATTTCAGGAATCCATTTTTTCTCGAATCGCCTAATCTTTTCTACTATCACTAATACTGTCGATGTTCCCAGTAACTTGGGATCGACCTATGCTGATATAGTGTGACAACCTGAACCGACGTACGTGTGCCAGGATCTACGTTGCGCATGACCGACTGGTACAATATCAAAAAGATAATTATTTACCCCAAAATATTACAATTACCAACATTATTAATTATAACTCCCCTTTTCATATGATAACAATTTTTACAGATATCAATGAAATAACGTTTCTCATGCTTTAATTTCCACTCACATATTATTAAATAAAGCATGTTAAAAGTTTATTTGTAACTAAAATTTAGGCCGTTTACAACTGATGAGAAGATAAGCCTTGCAATTTATTGTGCTCATTCCGTTTTAAAGTATCTACAGAATAAGATGAACGAAATACACCATCGTTTTATTCACAAAGTGTTGTTTAAAGAAAATACAAACTCAGATATTACAGTCTATAGCTAATTTACAAAAAAAATCAACACAATATAACAATGAAATAAATTGCCGACAAATTCCTTTCAATAAATATGCTTTGTGTTGTGTATATCGAATGATAAATATAACGAATAGTTATCAGTTATTTACTCTTAATATTGTACTGGAATAAAAGCTTTGCAATAATGTAAACACTAAAATAAATATCTAATTGGTATTCATTGTTAATTTAGCTACTTAAGTGGTGATAACCGTGTAGTTGTGAAAAGTGATTAACGTTCACTGAATTCTACGGCCCTACATTGAATGTACTAGTTAGTAGGTAAAACTAGCGGTAAGTATAGTTTGAAGTGGTACCAAATACCTGTAACTCTGAATCAAGTAAACAAATATTTTACTGTTTTTAGGTCTCGAAAATCAAAAATCAGCATAATCTTTCTTTGAAAATTAAATAAAAGTCTTGAAAAAGCATCTTCTGAGTAAATATGTCATTCGAACACGATTTACTTATTAATAATAACGTTAACGCTGGTAAGGGTATCGAGAAACAACTAGTTACATAGCATTACAACTTCAAATAAAAAGTATACACGAATTAAACTATTGCTTGCACATCTCCGATACACAGGGTGATACCGGTGAAGTGTTATACGTTCATAGTTTAAATCTCAACCGAATGACGTGCAACTGAATAACTATTTCTTTCGGTAGTATGTTTATGATTTAAATGTGAACTAATAAACGAAACATGAGTTTTGAATCTGCAAATAAAGCTCTAATTATATATCTTTATCTGACTGAACGGTACTGCAATCTACTACATATCTGGAACAAATATTATATCATTTCCATCGTTATGAACACTAGATTATTATTGTTGTAAATTGAACAAAACACTGGTCTAGTCACTTGTTATAATTGCAGAAAAGTTATTACTTGCTACTTACTAGGAATGAACAAAGACTGATATGGTTCGAAGCAAAGAAGAAGGGGAGACTGCAGATAAAGATTTATTATAAACTACGAAAAAAACATCGAAAGCTATGTATAAATACACTAAACTGGGTAGTAGTTGACACATAAAAATGTCATAATTAGATTTTTTAAAAATTAATTTATCACTTAAGAATCATACCTTTAACACGTTTCTGAATTTCCACGAAAAGAAAAGAAGCCAAGAATTTATCCAAGTTAAAAGATATTACATCACTCTTGTTTAGTAATTTTATCAGTTTTGATACAACAATTTTTAATCTAGCAATTTGTACATTGTGATCAGCTGATTCTAATTTAGCCACTAAACTGTACAAATTGACGCTATCTAAAGAGTGAAGTAAAAAGAGAATAAAATACTTATTATTACTGTTGTTTAGAATATGAATTATGTAAAATGCTATGACAGTGTGACCAAAGTGTATCACAGATCAACGTAAATATTTTCCACAAGACACATCTTTCCTTTACCATTAAAGTAAAACATTTGATACAATGATCAAGGAATTATAGTGGATATACATCTAGGTCGGTTACTATTTACCAAACGCATAAGTGAATTATTTATGATTGCTTTGTACTTTATATACTTAACCGTACACGTTACTGGTCACACTCCCAACCTTATCGATGTTCAAGCTTCCCAATACAGTGTATTGGTGTTTATAAAGCATTAGCGACAGGATATTAGGAAAATAACAGTAGCACCTAACTTTTCAAATGATGGTTATAATTATTATCAGAAAGATTGCTTCCAATGTGTTATTTATAATGTCTTACATAAAATCGGCACCAACTACTGGGAAACTATTTTTCAAAATCTAGACGAAGGTTATTGCATGTTATAAATCTTAAGTAAGATATTACAAACTAACTACCTAACGTTAATTAGGCGCGATTATTGTTTCGAGGTAAAAAAAAAAACAAGCAATCAAAATGCTTAGTATTTGTAAGGCCAAAAAGAAAACAAACGAAAGACCGTTTTGTGATCCAATTAGTGTTATAAAAACTGATTGCTTTTAACACGGTCAACTGGTTAGCCTAAAATATTAACGCAGATTATTACGTTAATCAAATTAAACTAGAGACTAAATCAACAAAACGACCAATGTACCACATACTTTGATCACATAACAGATGACTTTCAAATTTGTAGGTACAGAATTTCAATAACAAATCTTACTTAGCTTAAAGTGACAAGCTTGAACAACAGTCAAAAGATGAGGTTGCAATTCAAAAATTTCGTTTGCCAATGAATTTTCATTCTGTAAAACAAGATCGAATTGTAATCAGTATAGTAAACGTTTGTACATCCGCGAAAAATTAATCAAAATGAGTTGATAATAAATATAATAGTAACATTTTAAGGTCCGTAGTTTATGCATCCATGTGTTCTATACATATATTTCATTAAATTTTCATCAAATCAATCAATTATCTTACCAACTCATACACTATAGGCACACCTTTTATTCTTCAAATAATAAGGTAAACAAGATAATTATCTTAGGGATGAGGTCAGTCTAAAATGGATTATGACTCTCCATTAACCGGGTTAAATAATGAATAATTTGTGCGCTTACATATTATTTCATTTTAACTACAAGATTTTCATTACTCATAAGTCATACATCTGAAAACTTACTGGAAGGTCTGGGTGTATCACACAGTTTCCTGTGAACATAGAATTGTAAGTAACTTGGTCTGTATGATCAATAGATAAGTTGGCCAAAAAAGAACGTAGACAACGCCAAGAAAGCTTTAAACGTGTTACGGAAGCCATTATATCACACCAATCAGTAAGTGAGACGATACCTATTCGAAGTCAAATTTAATAAGTTTATGTATTAGACAAAGGATGAACAGTATTAGTTACAAACTAGATTATGTAAAAATAACCCTTCATTGACTTTATCTATCTCTATGTACTTATAAGTGAACCAAGCCAATTATGGGGGTGCTGTGAATAGAACTTGTAAAATCAATTCGAAATAAACGGATATATATAGGGCAAACTGATTACTAGCAAGTTTGCTACCTGACCCGGAAACACGATAAGGAATATTAAAAGCTACTAAATTCATTACCAGCCAATACCCTGACTTGATTTATCCACAGACCCTATCCAACTTATCTCTATTCAAGTCAACAAACATAGAGAAGTTGAATAGCTCTCCCCCAAAATGTCAATAAGTGACATCTATAGAAAAAACACTGATGTGCACAGATACGAATTCATCCCAAGTATATAGAAATATATTTACTGAGCCAAAATTGTTTTGTAAAAGAATTTATGAACATCAGGCTTTAGAAATGATAAATATGCATTTTGTTTTCCCATATAAACTAAAAGTGCCATCATTTTCATTCAATAAATAGAATATGTTCTCGCTCAACAGTTACCTTGGTGATAAGTAATATTTAATTATTATCCTTAGTTTGAACTAAAACACAATTCTTTTAAGCCTGAACATATTTTACTTGAAAATAATTTAATGTTATAAAGGTCAAACGAGAAGTCACTTATTGCATCGAATATCCTTTAAAACATCTACAAAGGGAAGAAAAAGTGATAAAATTACATAGTGGCTGCTTTACTCGTCCTATTTTCCTTTTCAAGTACAATGTAAGGGCACTAACCATTTATTATATTATCCAAAAAGCAGTAACAAACTTATAACCTGGTAGTCATAACAACTGTAGTCAATGTATATTATTGTTGGTATGTAATTCAGCTAAAGAATACTTTTTTTAAACGAGTGCATTTTCGAAGCTATACAACGATACATAAACAATGAACTATCATTAATAAAATAAACTGATTTGTATATATCAGAATATCAATAAGCTATAATCGTAGAATTGTTTAAACATCTTTATTAGCAAAACAACCAATTAAAGAGAGATCTAAAAAACTCAATGAAAGGATATTTAGTCGTTAAATGGTCGAACTTACTAAATGTGAATAATTAATAATCAAACTCAATAACTGAGTAGTTTAATGTACTCAACTGTAAACCAGAATTTCTTGTGTGAGGTCTAGTTAAACTAATTAGTACCCTGTCAAAGTAGGCGGAGTGCAGCATGAATCCAGAATCCAATAAGGTGAATAATTAAAATAGAAATAGTGTTGTGTGGATAAAAACCAGGAACCACATGCAGACAGATTTGGCAAAATTTAAATAATGTATAAATTGAAAAAAAAGATCATGTCTCCTCTTACTTTAACAAAAAAGTAAAAACATTTATATTAACCTGAGTTATAAATGTCCAGTTGACTGAAACATCCCAGGAGCTTTTCTTTATGATGAATTATCCGTTGCCATAAACACACAAATGCCATATTAACAGGATCATTTAATCTGAAGTTATTATCATAAAATTTATTAAAGGAAATAGAACAAAGTTGATACTTTCACAAAAAAAAGTGCTAAAGATTATTTATTACAACAACTTTTCCTACCTACATTTGAAATACAGAAAACTATTTGAAATGTAATATAGAAGCTATCAACAACAACAAAAAGTATAATGAACAAACAAACTTTAATATTATCACTTACCTAATGTGTAAATTTTTAAAAAAATTCATTAAATGTAAACTTAATTTAAATATCTATACACTAATAAAGATTATAATATAATTTAGAAATAAATAGTCATTGCTAACGGCAACTAAAATAATTTATTTCATTGTCAACATTTATTACAATTTACCCTAAGAAAATAAAACATAGTTATCATGTTATGTTATCTGTGTAAGAATATACAATATATAGGAAATTAGATTTGGCAACGATTGTTAATAACCTACAAGTTGTATCAGTAAATTGTGCATCTTAGAGATAACAGCAATGTGAAATATTACATGTATTTCATGCATTCGAACAATGATATTAATAAAAAGTTTTAAACAAGACAGTTCAATTTCGCTGGTTTCTTGATGGATCCATACGATCTAAATGATTATGTAAATAACCTTTGCATTAAAGTAAATGTATAGGACTTTTAAATTCAGAATTAGATTTTATTTATATAGACAAATGGGAATAAAAAAGTATTAAGTGTTTAAGAAATACTAAAATATGATAAGAGATGAACATACTTAACATACGTAATGATAATAAGTACTGGGATCTTAATTAATTTAGATTGCAATCAAATAAGACAAACAGAATTTGATGACAGATGTGTAGTCAAAAGTACTTCTAAGTCAAAACAAAAGGAGAACAATGCAGAACTATCAAAGAAAAAATGGAAACGTGAAAAGATGGATACATTTTTAACACTTATTTTCAGATACAATAACTTAGCAGTAAAAACCAGTAGGTGAACTAAGTATATTTAACTTAGAATATTTACATAATCCAGCCTGTCTTTTCACTGGGGCAATGTGGTTAATAAGACAATTCAGACTAAACGTTGCTATGTTTGCTAATTCATGTCCTTTATATACGCAGTTCATTTAAATCTACCTATTCCTCCTAAGCTGAATAATATACATTAGGGACACGTCTCCAAACAAAGAAGACCTAATTTTTCAACTGATTTTCTCTACAAAACCGCTGGATTGAATGATCATCATAATTATTTTGGTCTTTCACACAGAAACAATGAATTACTTCCTTTCTAGGTTCACACTACCTTCTCAAAAACCTTAATAGATAACCATTGTGGTGTAGAAAATGGTCAATCACTTTCAGCTTGGATCGAAATTTTTTGACCCAATAAAAGTTTTTTAGTGGTGATCATGAATATATTGAAGTCTGCAAACACTATGAATGGAAATCTCAGAGATTCACCGCAATTTCAGATGAATAGTTGTAAAAACATATGACAAAAAGGTTGTATTCTCGCGATCGCTTTTCTGTATCGTCAGTGAAACTAGACACTAAGTATCACCATCTGAATGTAATTAAAAGATTTACTAGATACCACTGAATATCGATAGTTGTATAAACTGATCAAAACCCTAAATAACTAAAATACAAAGAACTTACGTCCTGTCATTATCTAATAATTGATCTTGCATTCGCATAAGAACAAATACATTCACATAGATGTTAAGCGATGCTGAAAAAGTATTTTTTGGTACACATTTTATCGGATACAGAGAAACAGTAGCGTTTGGGTTGGTTATTTGATTGGACTCCCTACCAGTAACACAAGCATAAGCACCCTCATTACTGCGTAGTGTGAAATAATCGAATGATGAAAATATAGTTAAAACTTTTCCTGAGTGGGAAATATGCCATCCTTCCATATGGCATTCATGAGATCGAATAATCATAGAGAAACCTGTTGTACCCAAGAAACTATCAGTAATATCGGGACCGAAATAACAACCTGCACCACGGAAACCGTTGGGTCTACATCCGTCTTTATCTTGAGGGTCACTCCATAACAAATCTAAAACCTAATGAAACAAAAAACAATAGAAGCACAATAAACAACTGTATAAGAACTAAAAATATGATTGAAAATGTTCACCAAAACATTAATGTGAAATCAAAACCGTTAGAAAAAGAATCGCTTTTCAGTTCTATTACAAAACCATAAAAACAACATTCATTAATTTTTTACGTAGGAACAGTTAAACATCCATTTGTTTCATACCTGTTGCCAATCATTAAAATTTACACAGTTATCCCCATCCAAACATGGTTGTAGAAGTGAGGAAAGCTTTGGAATAAAATTCAATAAAACAAACAGAGAAAGAATAAGAGCAGCACATTACATGAGCAAACAATTAGATGAAAGAACACCCTTTAAAATCAAAAGTATCGTATACGGATACAGAGAATCCACCCTGGGGGAGTTAGAAAACCCTGATCCCAAACCAATGGTGCACATGGGCTCCAGGATTCTAAGGAAACAAATGGCGTATGAACCAATTATTGGTCACCAAGTACCATGGAGCTGCATCTCCAGACGTTGCTCCACTGCCTTGTGGATTAGACTTTTACGTCAAAGGCTTGGAGTGTGGTACCCTAAGAAAACCACCCGCTTCGGTTTGAACATTCGAGCAGTATCCCAGCCCTCACACAAATCGAATGATTTGTGGCGCATATCTATTTGGTGCCTTCTTGTACCAATGTTTATGTGTTTAAATAAATAAAAAAATAATACACACCCACAATATATCCTTTGCACTGATCATAGGACTATACTAAAGTTAACTTCAAGGGTTAACAGAATTTCCAAAATATATCGTGATTGAAAAATTTAAACATTATTCATATATATCCAAAAATATAGTAAGTAAAATTTAGATCTTGCTGAAATACACTACATTTTTATTCGTTATAACTAAGTTTACAATCTATTAATTTACATAAGATTGTATCCCCATCTTATTATAATTGAAATCTAAGTATCTTCTTCATCGTTTTGAATAATTGATCATTCCAGTTAATAATCCTGAACTATCATATATTACTTTCACAGTAAAACTACTAATTTATATTGTATTCCAACTATACTACTATTTATCTGGTCTATTATTTGTAAATAAGATGATCAATTCCTGATTTTAAGTCGCTAATAATTAAATCATATTGGTTAATCCAACATTTACAGTTCACATGAAGTGTATTCAAAAAGATAAATAAAAAAAAATACGACAAATTCATTATATTCTGCGAATTTTGCTTTTCTTGTTTTGTTTCGACAAATAAAAATTTGATATTTGTTTTAATTTTTTTTTAAAAAAAACAACTAATTTTAAATCAAAATACGTCTGCTTTTATCTCACTTTAAATCTATTTAGAAGCTTTAATTTCATAAGATCTGTATGTTTTGATATACCACCATGGCAGATAAATATTCTTTCATTGACGATAGCTCCAATTGGTAGAGAGCAGAACAATTTGTCACATAAGTGAATTAAATTATTTCTATCCTTCTACAAATTGATAAGGTAATAATAATAATAATGGGCTAAAGTAATCGAATGGATTTTTAGATCTTGATTTCAGGACAATTTTATGATAAGTAACTGAAAAGTCTTTTTTTTTAAATATAATGGTTAGTTTATCTATTATAATTTGGCTTATAGGATTAGTATTTTTATTCTTCATGAAGGGAGTTAAATTCATTATTCATTCAATCATTTCATTTCTCATTATATGCAATATATTACAAATTATTATTTAATTTCCTAGCATATTATTTCCCGACACTACCCTTTATATAATTAATGAAATCAAGGTTAATGATATTTCCATACTAAAAGAATAGTAGAACATAAGACTAAATTCTTCCAAATGTGAATTGTTTTACACAGCTAACAATCTTAAAAAATACTGTTATATATTTAGGTTCATCAATCGTTAATTAAGTGAAAGTACTTCTGATGAAAGTTTATTACAATGTATCAACATTAGACAATCCGTTTAGATATAATAAACTTAACTAATAACAAAATATTTACTAATGATAGATTACAATCAAGTGTTATAGCAAATAAGATCAGAATATTGAGACATAAATAAATATTATTGATAAAAATTAAAACTAAACGGTATGCAATAAACTAAGAGTTAAAAATTCCCAAGCATCGCTTAACTCAATGATCCATGCAAACTAGTAAAACAGACAAGAGTTAAAATAAATCAAATCAATACCAGTTTGTAAGTTGACTAACTATTGTGGACAGGTACAGATGTCCTAGTCAAGTTTGATGAAACAACCATAATAGAAAAACAGGAGCGAAGGAGTCTATTGAGCTATCGAATGTGTGCATAAATATTCATATGTATATATGTACTCTGTAGAAAATAAAACCCATTTCTTAGACAATTACATGCACTTGTCCCTTAGGACATATCCGATTGGTACCAAATGACTTTTTCATTCGGTTACTTCTGATTACCCCACAATATTAAAACTTTTCTAATGGTTAGACATACTTCCGAATTAGAACAAAATTACTACATTAAAAACTATAAACAACATGAAAACTTCGAGATGAATCTCGTTAAAAATTTAATTAAGAATCCTACTAATTAATGTCTGAAAAAAAATGTTTTTAAGATACAATTACAAGATAGTTAGTTGAATAATGAACAGACTACATTAATGAAGTCTAAACTGTAAAACGACAATACAACTTACAGAATATTTATTTGATAGTTCTTTTACAAATCCATACCTAAACAAGTTTGCAACAGAATAAAACTCATTAGAATGCAGAAAAAGCTTTAGTGAAGATAGCCGTCAGTAAACATTAAAGTACTATTAAAATAAAATGGATTGAATCCTTACTACTATCACTGTCACTGCCAATAACAAATTCTCACGAAGTAACATCTAAAGGTTTGGAGTCGTGGCTTAATGTGTTCGACTTTCTACTAATAAGTCGCATGTTCGAGCCCCACTCCACCTACTTCCGTTTGGGCACCCGAATAATAACCTATAAACATAAATTGTGGCTGGAAGCCGGGTATACGAATGCATACTTTGTGAACTGCATGAAACATATAAAAGTTAGATATGGACAGTCAGCAAAAACAAGAGATAAGAAAAAATAGAACACATGATACTGAATTTTAATACTCATATACAAGTCTATATAAGAGAAAGTCGAGTAATTTAAATATATAGATACAATGGAATAAAACATTTTGAGTTTAACCATTAGATATATATATATTCTTATGAGCTTTAGCAACATTCAGTTGACCCGTGCACGCGTTTAGCTACTCACAGATACTTACTATTCTTCTAAAAAAAATAGGGCGTAATCGAAATAATAATATCAATAAAAATATCGGCTGAGTATTTATATGTTTGCATAATGCAACTGAAAAAATTAGGGATCTATCTAATAAACAGTAAGTAACTGTGAAGACAAAATGGTCAAAGGTGAAATGATAAATACACAAAATAATAAATTTTTGATAATACCATAAACATTTCGTTTACTGGAAGGAAAGAACAGCAATAAGTCTCAATAATTTGTACTACACTTTATAAAGAAATAAGATTGTTGGTTCAGAGAATAAAACAAACTAAACTTTCAATTAAATTATGTTCACTTATAAATGACGTAGTAATTTCATAAAATGGTTCACAAGACATTTCAAAAGCATTTTTCATAAAGCAAAAGTGTGTAAACTCCATAATAAGGCAACCGACTAAAATTAAGTCGACCCCACAATAAACTAACACCGGCTGGCGAATTAATGAAAACTAGTAAGTGATAAACAGCTGCTTTATCTAAGTTTGAGATTCGCTAACAGTGTGTACCTACTAGTATCAAACATAGCAACTTTAAATCTCGCAGCGAGTACAACATCACTATATCACTGGCAAGGTCGTACATGACACTAGAACAAAACAAATCCGCAATTTTTCTCGGTTTTTAATTTGATGTGCGTCAGTAATGAAGACGAAGTTTAAATTGGACAACTCCCAAACCTTTAAAAATTAAATGAACATTTGTAAATGACTATTATTTTGTAAAAAAATCCGAAGTTAATTACAACTAACTTTTAAAACTGCCCAGGTTACACAAATATTCTCTTTACGTGATGAATAGTCGGGTACGCTTAAAAACTGAAATACAAACTTGAATATTTTCAAGTCGAATACTATTTTTTGACGTACAGAGAAGGGCATATAATATATTGTTAGATTTATAATAAAAACTTACCTTTCATTCACCATGATATCTTCGTGATTTCCCCGATTAAGAAATACATAGGTTGGGTAAGTTAATACAGCCATTAACAATAAACTTAACACTTCGACTGATTTAGTTCCTCGATCGACAAAATCCCCATTGAATACAAAACGATTCCGAGAGTTCGGTAAACCAGTCTATAAATAAGATAAAGTTAATATGAGTAATTCATGAAGTTTAGTGAACACATCTTTTAGAAATGTAAACTTATGGATTTTTTTGTGTTTGTCAAGTTTGACTCTGAATGGAAATAGTATCATAGCTGTTAGACTGAGAAACTTTCCATCATGATAAGACTGGTTTAACATCGGGTAGTTAGAGACAAGTAGTCCTTGGTAATTACACATGGAAATCGATCGATGGAGCTATATAAAGACTTATAATTAGAGAGAGAATGACTTGTTGATATCTAATAGCTAATTGATGGTTGGTTCAATAAAAAAAGGTTTAAAACGTGATTCGAATGCCCAATTATTAAGGTCTGTGACCTCGGTATTCGGATATGTAAATTTAAAATTTGTGTCTAGCTACTTCGAATTTGCAGATATTTGCTGCTGGTGAAAGACAACAAAACTAAAACTAGATTTAAGACATCCAATTTAACCTATTCAAAGACCTACCATCCAAAGCGAATCAGTCAGTCAGTCAGTAACAACGTAGAACTTCGTACGTACGTACATCAGTTCGAGTTGCCACACCAAAGCGAATAGAACAGAAATTTAGAGTACACTCATTTCTTACTGACAATGTAGCATAAATAATCCCGATTCGCTTTTATTAAAGCTTTTAAGTACTTATCTTTACTGTATTAACGTTTTTTGAATTCATCTCTATTTGGTTTATAAGAAAAACTTAAAAATTCATTTTAGAAGCATCTCAAAATACATATGATTTTTTGTGGTTAACATCATCCATTTCTGTCATATTCTGCATTTGAGATATTACGAGTTAAGAGCTTACACTATAATGGGTACAGACTAAAAGAAACCATTAGAGATCGAACGAGCAACATATACTATACTTTAAATGATACTTAACACTGAACGGATAATAATGAGATAAGACTAAAATTTGTAGGAAAGATTTTAGTGTCACAACATAAGGCAATCGTACAGATAAATACTGCTGATTAACTACTGCCTATATGGCTGAGGAATAAAAGCAACAAGATAGTTTGCTATTAGTGATCAATCAGTTATTTTTGGTGGACTCAATAAAATGTCTAGAAAAGCTTGAACTACCATTTTGGAAATAACTCCGACTATGTGGAGAAAGGAAGACAATGTCCTTATTCAATATTTGCAATAATTGATATCAGGAATATCAAAATCTATTGATGAAATAAAGTTTAAATACTGTTTATCGTTCATTAAATAATTTGTACACCTTTTTGCGCCCCCTAATGCCCTGGTACGGCCGAGAGTGGGGAGAGCCCGCTCTCCCTCTCGAAATACTCTCACACGGCCGCGCGTATACAGCCTCTGCCAGGGAAGTCCTACTCACTGCCTTCTCGTGGCGGGGCTGTTGTTTACGAAAATGAGAGGACGAAAAGCGAATGTCCGGCGCTTTAACCGGATCACAAACCTATGGTGCACATGGGCTTCAGTATCCTGAGGGAACAAATGTCGTATGAACCAATCGTTGGTCACCGACTACCATGGGATCGCATCTCCTTACGATGCTCCACTGCCTTGTGGGTTAGACCTTTAGGTCAAAGGCTCGGGGAGTGGCCCCCTAAGATAACCACCTGCTTCGGTTTGGGCACCCGGGCAGTATCACAGCCCACACACAAATGATGAACTTTCTATGTCTATGGAAATTACTTTTCTCGCTTCGAAAAACAATCAATTGATTCAATTTATTATCATTACAATTATTGTCATTATCAATACTATTATTATTATTACTATTATTGTCATTATTATTATTACTATTATTATTATTATTATTATTATTATTATTATTATTATTTTCCACATTATTCACCCTCTTTTATACTTATACAGCGGCTCGTCTTTGGTGGAAATTCGACTGTATCTAAACGTTCTCGAGTCATTGTCCGGTTGAAAATTGTATGTTACCACCGAATACGAGAACTGAAGCAGTTTTTCTGGAACCACGTGCACCATTCAAACTGGCTGCCTTCAACGTTCGCACACTTATGCAGGTTGGACAACAGATGAGGCTGGCTTTGTCTTTGGAAAGTCTTCATATCGATGTCTGCTCTCTATCCGAGACCCGTATTCAAGACTCTGGTGAAGTACTACAAATTCGACCTCCATCTTTCGCTTCGAAAAGCTTGTTTTACGTGCGCTTATCCGGGGACCCTGTGGCATCTTCGTCTGGTCTTGCTGGCGTTGGTGTCGCAATAAGCGCTAGAGCTGAGGCAGCACTAATCGATTGGATCCCCATTAACAGTCGGTTATGCGCTGTTAGATTAGAAAGTTCCATCAAAGTGAGAAGAAATCGGCGTGAGAAACGATGTCTTTTCGTCATCTCCGCCTATGCCCCGACAGATTGCATCCCGGATGCAATCAAAGATGATTTTTACCACCAGTTATCTGTTCTTCTCCAGAAAGTGCGTTCGACAGATATTGTGGTACTAGCCAGAGACTTGAATGCTCAGGTCAGGCGTCTAGGCACAGAAGAGAGTCGTTTAGGTGGCCGATGGGGACTCGTTGGTCGCAGGTCAGATAACGGGGACGGGGACCGTCTACTGCAACTGTGCACAGACCACAACCTGTTTCTGACTAGCACTAACTTTCGGCACAGTCATCGCCGATGTGCCACCTGGCGTCCTCCCTCTGCATCTCAAGCCTGGACTCAGATTGATCACATCAAGATCAGCTACCGCTGGCGTGGTTCTGTACAAGACTGCCGCTCCTTTTGGAGTACCTATCTGGACTCTGATCATGCCTTGGTCTGCGCCAATCTCGCCTTACTTTTCAGTGGACAACGAAGTGACCACCACCAAAAGATTGATGTTAGCAAGCTGGTTGCAACTTCTGTTGCAAGTAAGTATCGAACCGAGCTAGCCTCTAGGCTAGCTACCATTCCACCGAAAAGTATAGATGAGCATTGGTTGCAATTGCATGACGCCATGAAAATGGCGGGTACAGTTAGTTGTGGGTTCGCGAAATGTCCCGCTTATAAGCACTGGGTTTCTGCAGGTTCCTTACAACTCATCGAAGCCCGTCGGTCTACTCCGCGTGGCCGTGAGTTTGACCACAAACGAAGGATGTTACGTAAGGAAATTGAGCAAAGCTTGCGTAAGGACCGAGAAGCCTGGTGGTCGAAGCGTGCTAATGAGCTGGAAGCAAGCAGCTGCATCTGGTAATTACCGGAAACTCTTCCAACTCATCCGAGCCACTGGCAGCAAGAAGTCTGGTGTGAGTGAAACAATCTGTGAGGATGATGGGATCTCAATCACTAACATCCATCGACGTCTTGGACGATGGGCAGAATTTTTCGAAGGGCAGTTCAACTGGCCTGCTGCTCCGACAACATCGGTCAGACTGTTCTGCCCTCCATGACCGGTGACGACTGATCCACAAAATGAGGCGGAAGTCCGCAAGGAACTCCAACTCTTGAAGCGCTACAAATCACCTGGCCCAGATGAATTACCTCCGGCTCTCTTGAAAGATGGTGGTGACTTTTTGACTAAGGAATTGACGACGTTGTTTACAAAGGTTTGGGAACTAGAGAGTGTACCAACGTCATGGAATGAGTCGATAGTTGTCCCTATCTTTAAAAAGGGTTCACGTCGTTCCGGTAACAACTATCGGGGGATAAGTCTACTTCCGATTGCGTTCAAGCTATTGGCTTCCGTCATACTTCGTAGGTTGTTCAAAACCCGAGAAAGATTGACCCGCGAGGAGCAGGCTGGGTTTCGTTCTGGTCGAGGATGTATTGATCATATCTTCACCCTCCGCCAAATGTTAGAACACCATCATACTTATCAAAGGCTAACAATCGTAGTATTTCTTGATATTAGGGCCGCCTTCGATTCGTTGGACAGGACTGTTCTCTGGGATTGTCTATTGAAGAAGGGTGTGTCTGAGAAGTTCATTAACATCCTAAAAGCCCTATATACAAACACCTCAGACAGAGTGAGGGCATACAACCACCTCTCTCCGTTGTTCCATTCGAGCAGTGGGGTTAGGCAGGGTTGTCCAATCTCACCATTCCTCTTCAACTTTGCCATCGATGACATTCTGGAAACAGCTCTGATGGATGTAAGTAATGGCGGTGTGGATCTGTTGTCTGGAGAAAGACTTCTCGACCTTGAGTATGTGGATGATATTGTCTTACTGTGTGTTAATGCCCAAGCAATGCAATCCGCACTTAATCAGTTGGCAATCGTTGTCCGTAGGTACGGTATGTGCTTTGCACCTTCGAAGTGCAAAGTACTTCTACAAGACTGGCAGGATCCCAATCCTGTACTCACCCTGGATGGTGAGCAGATAGAAGTAATGCTGGTGGGGGTGTGAGTGATGAGATCAATGCACGTATAGTGAAGGCCAGAGCGGCTTATGCCAATCCAGGGCACCTTCGTAATGTTAGTATGGCTGTAAAAGGTAGGATCTACAACGCATCGGTGAGAGCAGTTTTGCTCTATGCTTGTGAAACCTGGTCTCTCCGAGTGGAGGACGTTAGGCGACTCTCTGTTCGATCATCGCTGTCTCCGAAGGATTGCTGACATTCAGTGGCAACACCATATCAGTAATGCAGAGGTTCGGCATCGTGTGTTCGGGCACAGAGATGATAATTCAATTGGTGTCACCATCTTGAAGCACCGACTTCGGTGGCTTGGACATGTTCTCCGAATGTCGTCCCAGAGAATTCCACGTCGTGCATTATTTGCCGACTCTGGGACTGGTTGGAAGAAGCGGAGAGGTGGTCAGTGCATGACATGGTGTCGTGGCATGAAAGAAAGCTGCAAAGGACTGGCTTGTGTTGGTCCTTCACGACTCCCTGGTTAGGGTCTGAGAGATGGTGCTACACAGTGGCTAGAGACGTTATCAGATATGGCTCAAAATAGAAGCCAGTGGCGATCCTGCTGTAACCTTCTTTTACTTTCTTCATAAAAAGTGGTTGTGTCTCCCTTACCTGAAAGATTTCTTCTGATTGTACCTTTCCGTTCCCTCATTTCTTCCATACTTTCCTTACATCAATCTCCTCGTTATTGTTCCTTTTTTTGCGCTCCTTAGCTTTTTTTTCTATTTCTCTTCGAATTCTCATTGTTTTGTGTGGCGCATATATATTGGCGCTCTCGTGTACCAATATTCATGTGTTGAAATAAAATAAAATAAAATATACACCTTTGTGCCCTATTTTTGTGCAATAACATTACTATCTAAACAAAATTATTTAGGATAATCCATGTGACTTAATTACTTTGGCTGTTTATTTGTAAATTAAATCTTATCGGTTATTACCCAGAGTTATACATTTAGGGTTGGTGATATTGGGTAATAGTGGTACATACAAATTGTATTTTATTCTTATAAACTATATTATCCCAAATACACTTGAGTTGTAATCTGAATAGACTCTAAAACCAATAAAAACTACTTAAGATGTAATTTATGAACTTGATAATGGATCCAACAACACTGTCATAATGTAGTTTAAAAATTATGACGAGGTTGGGTCGTGGTAGGATAAACTAACAATCAAATGGGAATCATATATTCACGTAGGAGAAACAGCTTCTTTGCACAAAACTCTAAATAAAATAATCTGTTGTAGTTATTCTTAAAACAAGAAACCGTAATTGAATTAAAACTACCAATTCATGGAAAATACATTGAACTAAATGTTAGACAGGTTTCTCTATAAATTAGTAATCTAAATACGTAATTTATAATTACTGACAGCAATAGATATCATATCTTAATCTACCGTAGCTAAATAGTATCGTTATGTATCCACCATACACCAAGGGCCACTCTTCAGATGCAAATCGTGATCTGAATTTTAAGTTAAATTTATATTCATCTATTAGATTTGTTGTTTACTCCTCAACCATGTTTTATTGTTTCAGATATCATGATTAGACTTCGTTAACTATGCAACGAAATTCTTAACTTAATCTGTACAACACAACCACATACATAAATATATGATGAATTAATAAAATACAGTAATAACTAAGGTAACCTTGATGGAATGATACAAGCCGTTAAAAATATGTAATTAAAAAATGGGTGTATCTCAGTAAAATTTATATATATATTCGATTGAAATACATTGAAATAAAAATATTCTAAAATGAACTGAATCAATTTGACCATTTTCTTTCGATTTTCTACGAAAGCTTACTTCTTCAAAAACTCTTAAAGCTGCAATCAAATTGCCATGGAGATCACCACAGATAATCAAATGATGTTCATCCTCAAGTTGAATTTCTGTTAGATTTGGTTGTTGGCTAAAAAATTCTGTAGCTTTGTTCAGTATCAAAGTGAAGAAGTTGGTGGGAATTATCTAGCAATCAAAAAAAGTAAAATTCATTTACAGAGTAATATAAATGAGATAACTTCATACTCCTTACTAATCATTGTACATTGTAATGATGAAACAGCACGACAGCAGTGGTTAATAGACTCTAATATAAGTTATTGAGTCAATTCCGAACGCTATTCGACCTACATCAGCTAGGACAGTATCAAAAACCCACATAGAAAATACATAGCTCAAAAAGCGGTGCAGGAACCCGTGTTGATAAATGAGTTCACCTGGATTTACAAATTTATTATTATTTCTAAGATACGAGCAAGCATACCAAATGACTTATTTAGGTGATTAGCGGCGGACAACAGGACCCTGGACCTAATTTTCGTGCTAGCTAGCGCCTACTGGCAGGGCGTATCTGTAGATTAGAGGGAACACGTGCTCCCTCGTAGATTTGACACTGACTACCTTCAACCTCCAAACATATCAATAGTGTATGCAATGTCGATGCGTCCAACTACTTCATCATTTATAATTAGCGTGGCCATTGATATAGATCAGTCCTGAAGCAATAAGGAACAAGTAGGTTGCTATGTATAAAGGATGTTCTATATATTAAAAAGGAAATGATATATGTGAAAATCCCAACGATTCACGTAAAAAAATAACTCCAAAGTTTCGCTAGGCATTCTGCTGCGGGAGTCTTCAAGAAAATAATTAAAAACCAGAATTGTCGAACAAAAACTGAGTTCATAAAATAACTGTAAAATAAGTGATCATCCAAACAAGTTGAGATACGGTTATTTTGTGAATCCTATATTCGATCATTTTTAGTTTTAATTATTACCATGAAAAAGTTCAAAACAGAATACCAGGCAAAATATTGGAGTTCTTTAATTTCAATTGCTGAGATTTTTCCAGAGATAATTTCGTTTTAATGTCTTCCATAAACTAGGAACCCGAATATTGTGAAACTACTAATTCAAATTTAGACAAAAATTCCTACAAAAAAGGATATTATAGATCATTAGATCTATAAGAGATATAACACTAATTAGAGTTATGGACACTATCACTCATTACTTGCTTGCTCTAAAATAGTAACCAAAAGTATATTACATCTCTAAAAATAAAGGAAATGTTACCGTAATTGATGAACTTGTTGTTTCAAGAGATTGAACATACCTTATCTGACTGTATCCAATTAAGAAAGGATAGAAACATTTCTTCAGGTATTGGAAAGTGTATGTGATTAGGGTCCGGATTAAAATCGCTTGTAAATGAAGGTTCCCTATTACACAAAAACTTTTTGGATGCTGAAATAGAAAAATAAATGAAGAGTAGGACTAGGCAAATAATAAGAACCAAATGATCACATGGGTATTTGGCAGTGTAACTACTAAAACTTTGGTAAAATGACCAATTGATCGTAAAACTTTGCTAAAAACTGTTCAGAACTTTAGGCCAATAACTAGTAAGTTGGGGGAGACGAAACTAAAACATGATACTCGATATTGTCAAGGACTGAATCATACTGGGAACGAATACAGTATTGATACGAATCACAAACCAAGTACGAAGGCATGTCAACTCATTCAATTTGAAGGAAACGCTTAGATCGAATTAAATTTCTACTTAAAAAGGAAGAATTAGTATAAATAACTCCAAATAATGACGAATTTCAGTGTAGAGGCTGTAAAGTATTGAATTTCGTTCAAAAAAACTTAATTAATTAATTGACAAATCCTATTATACAGTACAATTTGCAACCACTGATAAGTAAACATCTAACTGTCTCACTGACAACTGTTCTATAAACTCTTTGTTATCTTTTTTATTGACTCTTGTCGTTTTGATCCTTCACGTTGTTTCAAACCCACTAAGTTAGAAAAAAAGAAATGTCTTAAACTGCTAAATTGTTGAATTATATATCATCTTATTTAATTATCTTTGACGAACAAATAATTCAACTAATTTTTATTTTATTGTCAAGGATGAGGTTTTCGATAACTCGATGAGACGAAATTTTCGATTGTTGAAATCAATGAATAGGATCATCATAAATGAATGAACGCAATGATACAATATGGCCAGATGATGGCTACTCATGAGACCGTATTATTGACTTAACCCCTCGGACGATTATTAACCCAAAACAAGACCACTAGCCAAATGAATGGATTTCTGTGCAGGAAAATTACTTGCTGAGACGCAGAAGTTAGACATTAACACGGTTGGATGCTGAATCGGTGATCTGAAGATTAAGTATTCGTGCGCGACACCGAAAATCCTGGGTTCCATTTCCGTGTGCGGAGTCATGAATAGGCACCGCTGAGAAGCCCCATACTGGGACGAACGGGCTATCCAATGCATTCAAATTTTAAATGGTCTGGATTAGATTGTTTCATGATTTCAATGAAATAATTGCTTAATCGTCATTTACATAGCATTAAAAACAACGATATGATGGAAATTACAATTTTATTGTGAAATACTTAGTAATTAATTTAGTGCATTACTGTCCTAAATAAGAAGGAAGACAAATCTACACAAAAATATGCGCAACATAACCTAATTAAACACTCCCAAATGGTAGTCATCCATGTATTTTAGCTACTAAACAACATAAATTTGAATGCCTTGTGGATAACACGATAATAAAAACCTGTGAATAACTGTACACAATTTATCAACAGAGAAAAATTGTAGCTCAAGATTAGACGTATGTTATTTCATATTCTCGGAAGTTGATTTTTCGTGAAATTAAAAGACGAAGTTGCTCAATTTGGTGATGAAAGCGTGATAGTTAAATATGAAAGCCCGTATCACATCAAAACTTACTACTATTATTACTATTTTCACTTTTACATTTGGACGTTATACATTTATTTATTGTAGGAAGTTTTAAAAAAAGAACCGATTACAACAGATATGGGACAACACACAACAAACAGATAACAAATGATAAATCTCAACTTGATTTCATCAGTGTTCGCTAAAAATTTCCGTGCGGAAAACATTAAATTACCCCAACTAAAAAATATAGCGACCTTACCATCTCCATTACCAAAGCTAGATAATATGAGCTGTAACTAAGCAGAAAAGGCAATGATAAAAATAATTCTACAATGAGTAAACGCCGTAGACAGAAACCGTAATGTCCTAGTTTAAAAACATATTGTTTACGAGAGTAAATTTAGCTCTTTTTAGTGAATATTCAGCTACGAGACCCAGAAAAATTAAGTGTCTTAAAGGCAATGATAGTTTGGTTTTAAATTTTCGTACAAAAAACTCGAAGTAACTTGGTTAACATTTGAGCTTCTAAAACTTTTAAATTTCAAAAGATAGAATTAAGAAATGTGGTTTATTAAACAATAAAATAAAAAAATTAAGATATACAATATGAGGTTCAACTATTTGTTTTAAAATAGATTTGACTAGAACATAACACCACTTAATGTACTTGGTCTAGTTTTAGGTTTTAAATAAAATTTATGCATTAGATATCTCTGTTAAGTGTATGAACAAATATAACTGAAAATTTTACTAGACCTAAAAACACTCCGAAACCCCAAGAAATCAGTCAGTCAGCTACAACGTAGGACCAGGCACATACATGCATAGGTCTAAGCTGCCACACCTCATTAGCACAACAAGATGAACACCAAATTCATAACAGTCACTTCAATGGTAGTAATATATGAAAGAAAGATTGTGTATAAGGATATAATACAGGAAGAATTAGTTCATAGAAAGAAAGGTATAAAGTGATCTTAATCTCAGGGTTTAAGGGAAAACAAAGATCGTATACACTTACGCCACGGTGATCGATTCTGAGCAATGCCATCTAGAGCCTACAGTCACTGGGTACGACAGTCGCGCGGACACCAACCAAGTAGTTTGCATCTACCAACATGGCTCAGACCAGACGTTAGTGATTTCAAGGACTGATGCCACGTTTTGGTTTGGCTGCTCCTAACTTTCTTCTAACTGTCTCTAAAACTAGTCCATGTTCAGGCATATGTAACACGTGGCCGTATAAAGGTCTCTACTAGCTTGAAAGCATTAGAAAGGATACGATGATAGATTCGTACATCATTAGCAGTGGTGAGCTCTAAAGACTTAGTAACCTTTCTGTAAAACTGAGTTAAAACTATCTAACCCAAAATTCCTTACCTGTAGTCCACAACAGAGGTGGATATACATTATTAAAGGTTCGCAAATCTGTAGATAGTATGTCAGAGGCCGGATATACAAAGTACTAAAGTGTTCTTAATTAAAATAGTTAAATTCCTGCTTTCCAGGATTAATTTTGATTACAGTTAGTATTCTACCAAAAGAAATAGTGGTTACTAAACCTTTTGATACAAATGGATGTAGCGTAGCGTGAAAATAATTATCAAAATCAGTTTGGACAACTCCACTTCTACATAATTAGACGTAATATCACTACATAAGTAACTAAAAGCGCTATTTACTTATCCCACGACATTCTATTTTGATGTAACTGAGATAATCATATGGCTATGATTGATACTTGTTCGGCGCTTTGACAGGATTGGTTGATATAGAGGATCCACCTAAGGGAGTTAGAAAACCCTGATCTCAAACCAATCCTGCACATGGGCTCCAGTATCCTGAGGGAACAAATGACGTATGAACCAATTGTTGGTCACTCGCTACTATAGGACTGCATCTCCCCACGTTGTTTCACTGTTTTGTGGATCAGACGTTTAGGTCAAAGGCTATGGGTGTGGTGCCCAAAGAAAACCACCTGCTTCGGTTTGGGCACGCGTTCAGTATCATAGCCCACACACAAATCAAATGAATTGTGTGGCGCATATGTATTCAGTGCCCCTTTGTATCAATATTTATGTGTTCAAATAAAGAAATATACTTAACATATATTTTAATCTCCTATTCTGACCAAGGATATTAAGAACACGATAATCTGAAGAAAAATATAATCTATCTGATGAGAATTAACATGAGTCAATATACAGTATAATTAACGAAGCATTTTTGAGATTTTATTATAGATCCATGTTACTTCTAAATAACCTCAAATTATCTCACCTCTATCTGTTTTTACGTATATTTCTGAGTGATTGTGCAGGACTCAAAAAATCCTATGGCTGACTGAATGACGACCGGAGGCTGCAGTTCGTTTACCTTCGGTAAACAATAAGTAGTTTTAAATACATATGCAACCAAAATATGTACAAGTTTCAAACGTCAGAACATGTTAAATTAATAACAAATAAGAGCGAAATATAAGTCTTAGTCATTAAACCAAGTACATGATAGTCTAGGTTAATATACGTGGTTAGATTTGAAATAACACCAAGTTTATTGCGTCTGATTTTAATATGACATCAAACAAATGACCACAATAAAATTTCACTAACCCCTTCAGAATCACTTTCATCCGTTACATATTCTAACGACTGGTTTACTTGCCACGCACACTTACGACGAACTTCCAACCTCGCTTTGCACTTTCTGTACCAACACTGAATTATCACAGCAGCTTGAAGAGCTAAAATAATGATAAGTTATAGTACATTCTCTAATTCATTAACATATATTATCAATCCTAGGGTTCTAAACTAGCACATGCAAACATTTTGGATACTGCACTACATTGACTACTAAGAAATAATAAGTATATGTCCGAATTTTTGACCTGCGATCTTACTAGGAGGAAGTTAAATGCTTAAAAAAACCTACTTCGCCAAAATAAATTTGATAAAAGTTAGTATCAAATGTTAGTGAACAGTAAGCCAACTATTTCAGTAGCTAAAAGTCAATTACTTCATTTAATTGTGAGTCTACAGCTTTCACTGAGAATATTCAGGATTTAATGCTGCAGATGTCAGTTCCGTCGAAATCTGATACCTGACGTTGAAAATCTACAATCTGAATATCCAAAATGGAAATCAAAGGATAAATGAGAAGGTAGACTTTAGTCATATCTACAGGTTTTCGCTATTATATACAACGGGTAGGACGATGGTTTAGTAGTTAAAGGTTTCAGGTTAGAACCCCATTTCACCGATTTCGGTTCAGTGAGCTAGGTAGAATCATTAGTTCTCCAAAAAATGGCTCAATGTTAAGAACATGGAATTCGCTCTCAGGAAATAAGTTAAACTAAGATATATGATGAACTTAATATCTAGAGTTATTTTACGCCGAACGTTACCACCTATAAGTATCCGAAATAGAGATTGAAGTGAACTGAAAAGTACTTAACTTGTAATACAGGTATGTTCTTGTAGTTTCGGTTACTATGTTAAGCCCACATAACTTGTTCTAGTTTCTGAACGAGCCAATTTATCCATTCATCTCAAGCTATATATTTGGACCTTGTTAATTATTTACTTATCAACACTGACTTTTTATATGAGCGTATGTGTGTGTACATTTTATCCTATTCATCACACGTCTGTAGCTTATTTCTGTGTGACTATAAATGTTGATTAACGCTTGATTAAATCGAGTTGGTCCACATGCCTTCTCCACCGCGCATCATTTCGTTTCACCTCGTTCCTTTGATCGTCTAGATCAATGATTGTACAAAATATACGTATTCAAAATCCTTTCTCGTATTTGACTTATTTTAATTCCATTATTCACTAGCGCGAGTCAAGTCGATAATTATATACGAGGATAACCAGGATGTATATTTTAACAACAATCATTCATACGGTCTAAATGGAGTCAGATATTGAGCCACTAAATTCTAAAATGGCCTAGGGTGAACTATAATGGATTAGATCGACGTCCTTTGTCAACCTGTCACAGTTGTCAATCATAGTATCCAGTAAGTTTTTTCGATGTCTTACTTCGATGTTTTTTTCTCACAAAACCTACGATTCCAACATAAATAAACGGTGAAGAACTAGACGAGTGATAGGCTTGATTGTTATCGACTGTAAACCGTAATTCTCGAGCAAATGGTAGGCAAGTTTCAGATTTACAAAAGCGAGTGACGTATAAATCTATATTAGGAACTAATATTACAATCGACTGAGACGCTCGCTAACTTTGTTGTTTCAAGATTTTCTAATCAAAAGCTACTTCTGAATGCAACTACGTGTGAACACCTTGTAGCATGTATATAACTGAAATATATAAATTGGAGAGACAAGTGTTTAAGGCAACTTGCATCATAACGTTTGTGTGGTGCATATTCTAGTCCAGATGTTTTGCAAAATTGTGTAG